CCCTCCACCCCCTCCCTCCTCAACCCTCTGCCCTCCAGCCTCACCTTCCTCGAGTACCACCTTCCCCAGCCAGGCAGGTTTCCCCCTCTAGGAGCTGGGCCCACTGTGCCACCCCACACGCTGCCATACAATCCCACTGCCCCCACAGTAATGACCTCTCTGACCTCTCACAGGTGCCTCACTTACAGCCACACCGAACCCCTCCCCTTCCTCCAGCAACTTCTCCCACTCAGGTGCCCACCACGGGCGCTGGCCCATGGGTGCCTGGCCTCAGCCTTCTACCACCAGCCCTGCTCACCTGGGGCCTGCTACCCTATAATCCCTGCTATATCTCATGGTCGGGGTGCTTATCTGAAACCTAATCTGCTCACATCACGACTGGGGCAGCTCCCATTTTCTTTAGGTTGACATGAGCCCTGACATGAGGTCACTGCTTCCTGTGCACAACCACCCCCCCACTGGGAGCTGCACTGCCCTCTGTACCCCGCCAACAGGCCCTGCTCACCCCACATTCAGGGTGGGCACAAGCAGCCCCTTCTGCTCGGGTCCTGGTCCTCTTTAGGGGGCTCCTTGCAGGCCACTTCCTCCAGGAAGCCCTCCCTCTGCCCTCCTGAGGGCCCATGTAGGGTTTTACTTCCTGCCAGGCCAGAGCCCTAGCCTGGCAATGGCCACAACTCTGTCAAAGCCCAGGCCCGGTGGCCCAATCCTTGGCCTGCCCACCACACTCAGCACCTTGGGTGTCCACATGCTCTGATTAGGTTTGTGGAGAGCACTTACTGGTCCCCTTGGTCTGAGTGGCAAGCGGCCCCCACACTGGCCAGCAGCGTCCGGCACTGCGCAAGCACGACATGGCCTGCAGAGACAGAGCACACCCCTGAGCACACGCCCCTGTCCTCCCTCCCCTGGTTCTGAGCCACTCAGGCCTGCCACACTGCCCAGCCATCTGCTCCAACTCCAGGGCAAAGTCCCTGCTGGCTGGCTGGGGGGAGAGCTCCGAGTGGGACCCAGAGAAAATGCTTCCCACACTCAGCCACAGAGGCAGACACACTCCAGCCTCACAGAGCTGGCCTTGAAAGCAGCATTTAGCACAACAAATACGTGAGGTGAAGGTCATGTCAACCAGTTTGATGTAAGCATTCCAAACTGTATCTCAAATCAGCACATTGTACCCCATAAATGCATTAATGTACACAATTATGATTTAGTTAAAAAAAAAGGAGGCGGCGTTTCCAACCACTGACTTCCCAAACGTGGGGCAGCTGTCTCACTCAGTAGTCTGCTGCTCTGGCAACACTGAAATTTACACCTGTGTTTTCTTTTGCTTTTAGTTTGCATCCAGGATTTTTTTTTTTTAATAATTTGGGATTCATTGAGGGTATAAAGAATTAGGTTACACTGATTGTATTTGTTAGATAAACTCCCTCTTGTAATTGCGTCCTGCCCTCTACACCTGTGTTTTCTAAGGCAGAGACACTGGGGACTCTCTCTATTAAGCAAGAAGGCACTTCCCTTTACTTCACAGACACAGAGACTAAATATTCTTTTTTTTTCCCCAGAGCCAGGTTTGAACCTGTCACCTCTAGTATATGGGGCCAGCGCCCTACTCCTAGAGCCATAGGCGCAGCCTGAGATTAAACATTTTTTAAATCAAATGATTACAAGAATGTCTGTCTCATTTAAATCAACATAGGTTATCACTGAACACCAAGTCTGTTCCCAGAAAAAAAAGGGGGAGGGAGGGGCCTGGTGATAGTGAATGTCGCCCTGACAGTGGACACATCTTGGCCCCCACTCTCAGGTCAGATGTGGCTGCCCGCTTTCTCTGCCTGACCCCTGTTGACAAATGAAGCAATAACCCTTCTTCTAAGAAGTCAAAACCCATCTGCAGACAGATGGTCTCAGGGCCTCCATAGCTGCCTCCCAAGTGCAACGCTGCAGCTGATGCTCTGGACTTCACCCTGGAGGCAGGTGGGGCCGGGCTCCGTGTACGGCTGGACAGTGTCGTCCTGGCTGCACATGGTGGGAGGCACAGGCTGCAGGACAAATGAAATCCGTAGACTGGCACTCACCCTTAACTCTCACCCAGGTTTTAAAATCGATTACCTCTAATTCCCTTACTCTCCTAAAATATTTTATAAAACTGCTAACAAAAACAAGCGAGTTGGGCTGGGGGCAGCGGCGCACACTTGTAATCCTAGACTCTGGGAGGCCGTGGCCAGGGGGATTGCTTGAGCTCAGGAATTTGAGACCAGCCTGAGTGAGACCCCATCTCTGTGAAAAACTGAAAAACTAGGGCGGCACCTGTGGCTCAGTGAGTACGGCGCTGGCCCCATATACCGAGGGTGGTGGGTTCAAACCCGGCCCCAGCCAAACTGCAACAAAAAAAACAGCCAGGTGTTGTGGTGGATGCCTGTAGTCCCAGCTACTCAGGAGGCTGAGGCAAGAGAATTGCCTAAGCCCAGAAGTTGGAGGTTGCTGTGAGCTGTGATGCCATGGCACTCTACCAAGGGCAATAAAGTGAGGCTCTGTCTCTAAAAAAAATTGAAAAACTAGCCAGGCATTGTGGTGGGCACCTGTAGTCCCAGCTACTCAGGAGGCTGAGGCAGGAGGATCTCTTGAGCTCAAGAGTTTGAGGTTGCTGTGAGCTATGATGCCAAGGCATTCTACCCAGGGCAACTTATTGAGACTTGATCTCCAAAAAAAAAGGTTGCTGGTCTAAAATTTAGCTAGAGTGTTATTTTCTGCACTGACGCTTTTCAGAGGGTGCTAATAGCTGACAGGAGCCCTGAGCACTGGCCACATTTGGAGTGTTGAGATGCGTCATGTTGAGGGAGAAAGCGCTGCCTGTAGCCCCAGAAAAGCTCCTGATCCTGCTTTCCTTGTGAGGCCAAGGACCCCAGCAGGGCCCTCTGGCAGGATATCTGCATGGTGTGGGAGCCACACACCGGCAGGAGGCAGGTGCTCACCTTGAAGCTGGGCTCCCCGGATGGAGAAGTTACAGGTGTTGGGAAGCCGCTCCGCCCCTGGAAACTGGCTATTCAAATGGATTCTCTTATCAAATTCAGCCTGAAAAAAATAAACAAAATATTTGGTGAAGTTCACTGTGTGAACTTCAGACTTCTCTGGGAAACAAAACCTCAACATGTAAATATTTCTTTTTTTTTTTTTTTTT